TTTAGTAGTACTGGTGTAAACTCTTCTCTGAAAGTTTGATAGAATTCTCCAGTGAAGCTGTCAGGGCCAAGGGTTTTTTTTTGGAGGGGGGTTTAATTACCTTTTCAATCTCTTCTTTTGTTATGGGTTTATTTAGTTGTTCTACGTCTGTTTGTGTTAGTTTAGGTAGGTAGTGTGTTTCTAGAAATTTGTCTATTTCCTCTAGGTTTTCAAATTTGTTGGAGTACAATTTTTCATCGTATCCTGTTATGATTCTTTTAATTTCAGTTGGGTCTGTTGTGATATTGCCCATCTCATTTCTTATTCAGGTTATTTGCTTCCTCTCCTGTTTTTCTTTTGTCAGTTGGGCCAGTGGTTTATCAATTTCGTTGATCTTTTAAAAGAACCAGATTTTGGTCTTCTTAACTCCTTCAATTGTTTTTCTATTCTCTGTTAATTTAATTCTGCTCTAATTTTTATTATTTCCTTTCTTCTGTTGTCTGTGGGTTTCTTTTGCTACTTTCTTTCTACTTGTTCCAGTTGTAGGGTTAATGTTTGGATTTTGGCCCTTTCTTCTTTTTGGATGTGTGCATTTATTGCTATAAATTGACCTCTGAGTATTGCTTTTGGTGTGTCCCAAAGGTTCTGGTAGAATGTGTTTTCATTCTCATTTGATTCTGTGAATTTTTTTATTCCATCCTTGATTTCTTCTATAATCCAGTAGTTTTTGAGCAAAGTGTTGTTCAGTTTCCATGTATTTGATTTTTTTTTCCTTGCTTTTTCTGTTATTGATTTCTACTTTTATGGCTTTATGGTCAGAAAAGATGCTTTGTAATATTTCGATGTTTTAGATTCTGTTAAGGCTTGCTTTGTGGCCTAATGTGTGGTCTATTCTGGAGAATACTCCATATGCTTTGGAAAAGAAAGTATACTTGGCTGCTGTTGGGTGGAGTGTTCTGTATCTGTCTATGAGATCAAGTTGGTTGATTGTGGTATTTAGATCATCTGTGTCTTTACTGAGCTTCTTTCCGAATGTTCTGTCCTACACCAAAAACGGTGTGTCAAAGTCTCCTACTATTATTGTGGAGCTGTCTATTTCTCTTTTCAATGCTGCTAGAGTTTGTTTTATATATTTTGGAACCCTGTCATTGGGTGCGTAAATATTTATTATGGTTGTGTCCTCCTGGTGTATTGACCCTTTAATCATTGTATCATGTCCTTCCTTACCCTTTGCAGTGGATTTTGCTTTAGAGTTTATTTTGTCAGAGATTAATATTGCCACTCCTGCTCCTTTTTGATTGTTGTTTGCTTGGTATATTTTTTTCCATCCTTTGAGTTTTAGTTTGTTTGTGTCTTTAAGTCTAAGGTGTGTCTCTTATAGGCAGCATATAGATGGATCTTGTTTTTCTTAACCATTCTGTCACTCTCTGTCTCTTTATTGGTGAATTTAGTCCAGTTACATTCTGTGTAATTATTGGTAGGTGTGAGTTTGGCGCTGTCATTTTGATGTCTTTTTTTGTGTGTTGTTGACAGTTTCTTTGTTCCACTTAATTTTCTGTGCTGAGTCATTTTTCTTTATGTATTTTCTTTTCATCTTTTTCATTGTTGTTGATTTTGTATTGCTGAGTCTTTATGTTTTTTATTTTGGTGTGTAGGATTGTTAGTTTTCATTGTGGTTACCTTAATATTTACCACTACTTTCTACGCTCAAACCACTCTTTTATTTTTTTATATCACCTTCACTTCCTCTCCATATGAAAGATCTATGACTACATTTTTTAGTCCCTCTTTTTTGTTTTAATGTTATCTTTTACATGTTCATGTCTCTGTTTCCCTATTTTCAATGTTTTACCTTTGTTTTATTTTTGTGACTTCCGTATCTGGGTTGATATCTGGTTGCTCTGTCCTGTGTTCTAGTCTTGGGTTGTTATCTGATGTTATTGATTTTCTAACCTGACGACTCCCTTTAGTGTTTCTTGTAATTTCTTGTAATTATGGTTTGGTTTTTGCAAATTCCCTAAAATTCTGTTTGTCTGGAAATGCCCTAATTTCGCCATTACCTTTGAGAGACAGTTTTGCTGGATATATAATTCTTGGCTGGCAGTTTTTTTCCTTCAAGGCTTTATATATGTCATCCCATTGCCTTCTTGCCTGCATGGTTTCTGCTGAGTACTCCGAGCTTATTCTTATTGACTGTCCTTTGCAGGTGACTTTTCATTTATCCCTAACTACTCTTAAAATTCTCTTTTTATCTTTGGTTTTGGCAAGTTTGATTATATGTCTTGGTGACTTTCTTTTGGGATCTGCCTTACATGGGGTTTGATGAGCATCTTGGATATCTTGTCATCTTTCACGATATCAGGGAAGTTTTCTGCCAACAAATCTTCAACAATTCTCTCTGTATTTTCTGTTATACCCCCCATTCTGGTACTCCAATCACTCATAGGTTATTCCTCTTGATAGAGTCCCACATAATTCTTAGGGTTTCTTCATTTTTAAAAAATTCTTTTATCTGATTTTTCCTCAAATAAGTTGGTGTCAAGTGCTTTATCTTCAGTCTCACTAATTCTGACTTCCATTGACTCAATTCTGCTCCTATGACTTTCTATTGAGTTGTCTACTTCTGAAATTTTATTGTTAATCTTCTGGATTTCTGATTGCTGTCTCTGTATGGTTCCTTGCAGCCTGTTAAATTTGTCATTATGCTCCTGTATAACCTTCTTAAGTTCCTCTATCGCTTTGTCTGTGTGTCCTTGACTTGGTCTGTCTTTTGCCTGATCTCCTTCCTGATCTCTTGAAGAGCTCTGTATATTAATCTTTTGAATTCTGCCTTTGGTAGTTCCAAGACCTTCTCTTCCTCCAGGAGGGTTCCTGGTTCTCTGTTTTGGTCTCTTGCTGAAGCCATCATGGTTTGCCTCTTTCTGTGGTTTGATATTGACTGTTGTCTCTGAGCCATCAATATGTTATTGTATTTATTTTATGTTTGCTTACTGTGTGCTAGCTTCTTGTTTTGTTTTGATGTAACTAAATAAGCTGGTTGTGTGAGCTACTTTGACTATTGGCATCTTTGAAGCTCTCAAGTTCTTTCACCAGGTGGTTAGAGCTGCTACTAGGTATGTGAGCCCAGGAGTTCGTTTACTTTTCTTGTGTGGATTCAGCTCAGGTGTCCAGGTGGTCAGTCACTGAGTGTGTGGTGCAGTCTCTCACCTAAAGTCCTAAACAGGCAGGGCTACGTACGGGTGATTGGAGCAGGCACAGGTATCTGCTGCACTAGGGGGATACGTGCTGAGCAAGGTAGGGGGTTGACAGCTGCCCCTGAGTGCCTGGGTGGAAGGTGTGTGCCTGTTCCTGAGAGTACATAGGCAGGTAGGTTTTGCAGCCAGACTTTTGGCACCCAATGCTGTTGGCTGTAAGGATTGGGAGGTACCACTTATTCTCAGACCCCTGTCTTGGGTGGCTAGGTATAGTGAGTGGAGCCACCAGTCCTCAGGCCTCTGATGTGGGTAGGTGAGGACCCTGCTTAATGGGTAGGGTGGTGTCAAATGTCAAAAATCTGCCACTCCCCCTTAGCTATTGCAGTTGAAAATAGGCTTCAAGTATGTACCCTGTTGTACTATGCTAATGAGGTGTATGCTACTGAAATGGGCCCACATAGGTCTGGGCAGGGGTGAAAGGCATTCAAAGTCCATGGACCCCTTATGCCTGTTCCTAGGCAAGGGGGTCTGCCTGCCCTGAGGTCCCAGTTTAGGGGAGCTGGCAGATCATTTTTTCCTGTTTGTTTTGTATGTTAATTTGTTCCCTCTCCAAAGCTGGGAGAATGGCTTGGGGTGTGCAACGGGTCCCACTTCTGGCCCAGTGGGCATGGCAATCACTGAAGCTGGACTGGGACCGGGGCACAGCAGGGAGGGGGCAGGTGAATGAGAGAGAGGTACTTCCCAGAGGGGAAAGGGTTTTTTTGATCCTGCACAGCAGGTTAGACACTTGCACTTAACTTTTGCAGATCCAGCGCCACTTGCCCCTAATTCTGGAGGCTGTGCAAGTTCTCTGCCACTCAGTTTTACCTGGTGTGGAAAATGTTCCCAGAGCGCTACTGCTTGCCTCAGCCCTCGTGCACTGGTGGATCCAGCCTGCAGGGTGCCAGTCAGTTCAGGTCTGGCAAATCCTCACTGCTTCTGAACTGTCTCTCCCTCCCTTTGCCGCTCAGTCTGACCCCTCAACTTTGTCTTTGATGTTCAGGGCTCCTAGATTGTCATATATAATCAATTCACTTGTTTTTTCGGGTCTTCGCTGTTAAGAGGGGTTTCTTATAAGCTGCACGGAAGGATTAATTATGTTCACATTGAGTGTGATACACTTGATTTTATACTTTCCATCTTAGTATTTCTTCATGATTTATTGTAACTTGTCCCCCCCCCAACCTTTTTTTTTTTCTCCATTCTGGTGGGAAGGCAGGGAAGGCAGGGGTGCTGGTGTGGATGGAGAAATGCTGTCTTCAGCAGGCCAGCTTTGCAGCATGGTTTGGGGATTTTTCCTGGCTTTGAAGCCTCCCAACCCAGTCATTCACCTTTCCTAGTGATTCAGTGAGCCATGCAACATCTTTTTTTTTTCTTTCTGTTTTCATTAGCCAGAGTTGTTCCTAGTTATTTCAACTAAGAACCCTAAATAAAAGTTTCTCTCTCTCTCTCTTTTTTAAATCAATTCTACGTGGCACCGCTACTCAATAGAGATCTACCTTATTTATTTAGACACAGTTTGTGAGAAGAGGCAGATGATACTTAGATCACAAAATAATCCAACTATTCTAAACCAGAGAAGTCCTCGTGATGCAGTGGTTAAAATGCTTGGCTGCTAACCCAAAAGTCAGTCATTTGAGCTCACCGGCTGCTCTGAGGGAGAAAGATGTGGCAGTCTGCTTCTGTAAAGATTTACAGCCTTGGAAACCCTATGAGGGTGGTTCTGCTCTGTCCTATAGGGTCACTATGAGTCAGAATTGACTCTATGGCAGTGCATTTGGTTTTGGTTTATTCTAAACTAGACAGTGACTTCTCAAATAAAAACTTTTTTCTCAGTGCAGTAGAATAAATGTCTCTTATACTCATTTTCTTGAGGGACAATCTAATTGCCCCCTTAGAAGGTAGCCCAGTTTTTATAGACTTAAAATTTATCTTTTTTTTTTTTTAATGAATTATAAAACTATGCAGCCACTTATAAAAGAAAACAAAAATGAGTGAAGGTGGAAAGAAAAGTCTCTGGACTTAGGACAAGATGAGCATTGGCGGACAGGTAAGTCTGTAAAGCTTGCTCCTTGCTTCTAAGAGTCATCAGTATCTGAAGCCCTGAGATGCTACAGGGAAGGTTCATATATCTTGACGATGAGAGTGATGGGGATCAAAGATGCAAATTCCCAAAGTCTTCATTTAAAACATCTGGAGTCAAGGGCTATTGAGAGAGAAGAGAAGAAATTAGGAAGCATAGATTGACAAGACACTGTGCCAAGAGGAAGGGAAGGAGAGGTGAAAATGAAAACATAGGGGTGAGAAAAGAACCGGGACAAGGAGGTCCAGGTGAGTTCTTGAGAGACACAGAAATTTAACAAGAGCGTCTAAGAGAAGTCAGAAAACGAAGGAAGCTAGGAGTCCCTGGTGGGAGAAGGGAGCAAAAAAGGTGTTGTGAGAAAAAAGAAAGGTGTGTGGTGTGTGTATGTGTGATGCGTGTGTATGTGTGTGTTTATGTGTGTATGCATATGGTGTGTGTGTATGTGTGGTGTGTGTGGCGCATGTATGTGTGTGTAGTGTGTATGTGTGTGTTTGGTATATATGTGTATATATGTGTGTATGTGGTGTGTGTGGTGTATGCTGTGTATGTGTGTGTGTCATATGTGTGGTGTGTATGTGAATGTGTGGTGTGTGTGTGTTGTATGGTGTGTATGTTTGTGTGTCGTGTATCTGGTATGTGTGTGAGTGTGTGGTGTGTGTGTGAGTGTGTGCTGTGTATGTGTGAGCAGTGGGGAGAGAGAACCAGGGAGAGGGATGGGGGGCTGAAGCAGGGAAAATTTGATAGGGGTGCAGGTGGAGAAGAGACGAAGGAGATGAGGGGCCGACAGTGGGGGCAGCTTCTCACCTTCAGGATTCTCCTGAGCCGCCTTTCTGTGCTCTGGCTATATAAATCCAGCTTCTCCCAGGGTTCAAAGGGCTTTCCCTGGTTGTCCACAAAGTTTTTCCAGCAGTACTCAAAATCTGAGGTGAAATAGGGGAAATGGTCAGGCCCCAGGGGCGGGTCTGCAAGCCCTTACCCCGCAGAGCCATGGTCTTCTTTTCCCTCCCCTCACTTCCTCTCCTTGGGCCTTGCTGCCTCTCCAGAATATTCTCTTCCAGGTGGACTCTGACCCTGGGCAGCAGCTGGACCACTGTCCTTCCCTCCCAGAGTTGCAAAGCCTCCCCATCCCCTGCTGGCTCTCCGCGGACAGCTCTGCTCTCCTCCTACCTCTGAAGGTCATGACGGCCACGGTGACACGGGAATTCTGCAGATGCTGCAGCCCCTGCATATTCGTCCAGCACCAGTGGAAGTACAGGCGGGAGGTGTAAACCTTCAGGCGCAGGTTGGGGTAGTCCTCTATGAAACTGACTAGTTTCCGGGCATAGCGATTGCAGGGGCTCCACGTGAAGTAGCAGGTGATGTCGTAGCTCCTAGCTGGGTCCAGGTTCATAGAAACTATCCCATCAATAAAGCGAGTTACTGCATGGTAACCTTTCTGGGGAGGGCCCCAGAGAGAGAGAGAGAGAAAAAAGGATTAGAGGGCAGAGCTCAGAGGTCAAACCGAGGGCGGAGACGGGGATGAGAGGCTCTGCTCCATGAACTGCTGAATGTGTGAGCTTGCCACGGACAGGAAAAGGAAACCTCCTTCACTCACTAGCTCGCTGCCTCACTCAACCATTAATTCAACATTCAAAGCACCCACAGCTTTATCTGAGTCAAGCACAGATCTCTGCCTTCCAGAGCCCACAGCCAGAGAGGGAGGCTGTTGGCCCAGTCCCAAACACTCTGTGGCGCACCCCTTTGGACACTTGTTCAGCTGGTTGTCTGAAGATGTTTCTGCCTGGGGATCCTAAGGATCAGGTCAGGGTGGGAGGGAGCGGGGCAGGACAGGTCGGGAGACAGGTGGGAAGCAGAAGGGCAGGAATGTATGGAGAAATTGTAGGTGAAGCTTAGTGCTTGGTCCTGGGAATAGCCGCGTGCTAAGGGCTGTGAGGTGCCTGGGTAGTGCAACCGCTTAAGTGCTTGGCTGCTAACTGAAAGGTTGTCAGTTTGAATCCACTCAGTGGTGCCTTGGAAGAAAGCCCTGGTGTTCTGCTTCTGTAGGATAACAGTCAAGAAAACCCTGTGGAGCAGTTCTACTCTGAAGCATCAACTCGAAGGCAGTGGGGTTTCGTTTGGTTTAAGGGCTGTGACTACCACCCGTCTGTCAGCTGGTTGTACTGTGGTGGCTTGCATGTTGCTATGATGCTGGAAGCTATGCAACCAGTTTAGCAATTTGATGTTGAGTAAGGGGGAAGTAAGGGGGTACCAGAGGCTGGGGGAGGTGGGTACCTTAACTGAGCAGCAACTATGTGTCAGGCAGAGTGTGATGGGCATTGTGTCACTGAAGCCATGGCAACCCTGGGATAAATGCAGTTTTGCAACCATAATACAGAGGAGGGCACATAGTTGGTATCGCCCAGAGCTTGTTTCCTCATCCATGAAATGGGGTGAAACCAGTAATAACTACCCTGCTGAGGCAAGATGTCCAGCATGGGGGGCTGCAGAGAGAACGGAGTTTGGTGGGGCCCCTGGGCAGGACCAGAGCAGCTGAGGCCCGGCATCTACACAGTAGAGCACCAGACACAGTTGCAGGCCCCCCTGCCCCATTGCGCTAGATTTTGCCCCATGGGACCACACGTGAGGCCCACCCCTGGAGCAGCCCTGGAGCAGGCCGAACCTCCCCGGCATGTCCAGGAGGGCAAAGCCCAGCTGAGGCCTCCCTTCGTGGCTCCTGGCACTTCTGGCCCCTGCCTGCCTCCCACCACCGTGTCTCCCACCCTGGCTTCATCATACTGTACACACCACAGAATCAAACTGAGGTTCTCCCAAGACTCCGCCAGCTTCCCCGTCCCAATCCCCATGTCCTCTCTCCATGAGGTCATGACTGAGCTGACATCTGAAGCATGAGTACATGGTAAGAGGGCCAGGAAGAGCATTCTCCTGGAGGGAACAGCATCTAAGGAGGCCCGGGGGTGGGAAAGAATGCGGGGAGTCCCAGGGAAGCTGGGCTAATTCCGACCACTAAGCCACAGAAGCAGCAGGAGCAAGGGCGAAGAAAACGCAGAAGTTCCCACGGCAATTGAGGATCTTCTAGGCTCGCACTATATGCATGTTCCCTGCAAATTCAGTGGGTTCAGCCCCTGCCTACCCTGTGCCCAGGGAGCCCAATCAGCACCTTGTAGTGAAGGCAGCGTTTGACGGGTTGGGGTTCATTCAGCTGGTAGCATAAGTAGGTCTTCCTCGGAATGGAGGACTTTTTCTCCCTGTTGTAAAATTGTGAGTAGAACATCTCTTCTGTTAGCAGATCTGTTGTGTTTCTGTGCAACAGGAAGAAGAAAACCAAAGCTGCAGAGCGTGTCCTCTGGAGCCACTTTAGGCTCCTAACTTCTCAGGTCCCCTTGGGCTCCAGGGGGAAGGTAAGGGAGGGTCTCTGCTTTCTTTGTTGGCCAGGAGGCCTAGGGGGTGAGGGAGGAGAAAGGAATAGGGTGCTGGCAAGCACAGCAGGGGGAGGGTGAGCTCTCCCACCTTGCACCCTGCTGCTTACCCCCCATCTGGCACAGTGTCCACCGTGGCCCACACCTGAGGCCAGTTTGCCTGTAGAATGCCTGGCCCTTGTCACTGCTTTTGCCTGGAATGGGTGGGGAGCCTCTCCCTGAGAAGGGCAGGCTGCACCTTCCCTTGGTCACCCCCAGGTCCCTCCTTGTTACAGCCCACTCCTCTATGCCACTCACCCACCTTTGTTTGAGCCCTAGACTCCCTGTCCAGCTGCCCCTCCTGGGTGCCCCACAGGCATCTCCACCCTAACTGGTGCAATGCCAGAGCCCTTCTCTTTTAGGGGTGAGGGACTGGAACTGGTGTGTGCTCTAACTCTGTGTTCTTTGTTCAGGTGTGGGCATCACAATTTTGTCTAAACAAAGAGCACACAGGCAAACAGGAAAGACTGTTGTCACCAGGGATTGTTGAAACAGATTTCTGGCAGAAGGACTCACAGAGTTTTTCCTCCCTCTAACTGTGATTGCACTCTATAGAGCATTCAATGTTATATCTTGCTTTCTTTTTTATTTAACATTAGATTGCAAAGTGGCCTGGCCATTGTGGGCATGCAGACCCACTGAGTTCTTTCTGATCAATGTTGTTGGCTTCCCGCAGGTAGAAGTAGATACATAGAACCAGGACCTCCCTTCCCCCTCGGTCAAGTCCTGTGGGAAGCACTCATGATTCAGCACACGCAAAAACAGCTTCAGTAGTTGCTGGGGAAGCTCAGTGAAGCCCCTACTCTGCCCTCTTGGGCACTCTGACAAAATCATTTCTGCCCAAGGCAAATGTGACTTTGCTGACCACCGAGTCAGGTCCAGGTGGCCAGACTCCCCAGGACATGGCATCATGCTGAGGGCGTCATTCCTCAGACACAGATCACAGGTGCAATAGGTGTCCAGATGCCATTCATGCAGGTGTAGAAATGTCTCTAGCCTGTTAGCCAACACAGTGAAATACCATTAGTTCCACCATGAAAAACCATTTCTACGATAATTATGCTAATTATCAAAACCACTAATTTCATTTCTGGCACCTGTGGTGCTACTTGGTAAAACTTCTGGTGGATTTGAAGATTGCTGAAGAGTGGACAGGTGCCATCTCTGGATGGTGGCCTTGGACTGCCAGTGGCCTCTCTCAGAGTGCAAATTCCCCACTAGGACAACTGGCTGCCTTCAGGGTGAGGATTAAGAGGAAGACACCCCCTTATAGTACACGTAGGACAACCAGTCTGTCTCAGTTTGCCTGGGATTCCTGGTTTTAGCACTAAAAGTCCCATGCTCTGGGAAACCCATCAGTCCCTGGCAAACCAGGACACTCTAGGCTGACATATTTTAAATTATAGACAATAACACTATCTGAATGGCTCCGCCCACCACCCATCTGTCAGTGTGTCGTACTTTGGTGGCTTGTGTGTTGATGTGTTGCTCAAGGCTATGCCACTGGTATTTCAAATACATACCAGCAGGGTCACCCATGGTGAAGAGGTTTCAAGCAGCTTCCAGAATAAGAGACTGGGAAGAAAGTTCTGGTGATCTACTTCCAAAAAATTAGCCAATGAAAACCTTATGGATCACAACAGAACATTGTCCGACTTGCTTGCTTTGGACATGTCATCAGGAGGGATCAATCGCTGGAGGAGGACATCGTGTTTGATGAAGTAGAGGGCCAGTGAGGGTGAAGGAGACCCTCAGTGAGATGGACCGGCACAATAGCTGCAACAATGGACTCAAACATGCTGGTGATTATGACGATGGCATAGGATCAAGCAGCTTTTCATTCTGTTGCACATAAGGTTGCCATGAGTCAGAATCGACTCGACTGCAGCCATCTATCTGTCTATAATGGCACAGACCAATTTAATTTTTGTCCCACCCTTGTTAGTGTCTACATGGGAAACAATTTATCTTCCTGCCTTGTTGTTGCTGTTGTTAGGTGTCGTCGAGTCGGTTCCAACTCATAGCGACCCTATGTAGAACAGAACAAAACACTGCCTGCTCCTTAGCCATTCCCACAATCGCTGTTACGCTCGAGCCCAGTGTTGCAATCACTGTGTCGGTCCATCTCGTTGAGGGTCTTTCTCTTTTTTGCTGACTTTACCAAGCATGATGTCCTTCTCCAGGGACTAGTCCCTCCTGATAACATGTGCAAAGTATGTGAGACATAGTCTCCCCATCCTTGCTTCTAAGAGCACTCTGGTTGTACTTCTTCCAAGACAGATTTGTTCCTTGTTTTGGCAGTTCATGGTATATTTGATATTCTTCTCCAACATCACAATTCAAAGGCATCAGTTCTTCTTTGTTCTTCCTTATTCATTGTCCAGCTTTCACATGCATATAAGGCAAATGAAAACACCATGGCTTGTGTCAGAGGCATCTTAGTTTTCAAGATGACATCTTTGCTTTTCGGCACTTTAAAGAGGTCTTCTTAGCAAATTTGCCCAATACAGTGGGTCTTTTGATTTCTTGACTGCTACTTCCATGGGTGTTGATTGTGGATCCAAGTAAAATGAAATCCTTGACAACTTCAATCTTTTTTCTGTTTATCATTATGTTGCTTATTGGTCCAGTTGTGAGGATTTTTGTTTTCTTTATGTTGAGGTGTAGTCCATACTGAAGGCTGTGGCCTTTGATCTTCATCAGTAAGTGCTTCAAGTCCTCTTCACTTTCAGCAAGCAAGGTTGTGTCATCTGCATATCACAGGTTGTTGATGAGTCTTCCTCCAATCCTGATGCCCTATTCTTCTTCATATAGTCCACCTTCTCGGATTCTTTGCTCAGCATACAGATTGAATAGGTATGGTGAAAGGATACAAGCTTGATGCACACCTTGCCTGACTTTAAACCACGCAGTATCCCTTTGTTCTGTTCAAACGACTGCCTCTTGATCAATGTATGGGTTCCTCATGAGCACAATTAAGTGTTCTGGAATTCCCAAACTTTGCAATGCTATCCATAATTTGTTATGACCCACACAGTCGAATGCCTTTTCGTAGTCAGTAAAGCACAGGTAAACATCTTTCTGGTATTCTGTTTTCAGCCAGTATCCATCTGACATCAGCAATGATATCCCTGGTTCCACATCCTCTTCTGAATCTGGCTTGAATTTCTGGCAGTTCCCTGTGCCTGTACTGCTGCAACCACTTTTGAATGATCTTCAGCAAAATTTTACTTGTGTGTGATATTAATGATATTGTTTGATAATTTCCACGTTTGGTTGGATCAACTTTCTTGGGAACAGGCATAAATATGGGTCTCTTCCAGTCGGTTGGGCAGGTAGCTGTCTTCCAAATTTCGTGGCATAGATGAGTGATCACTTCTAGAGCTGTGTCTGTTTATTGAAACATCTCAATTGGTGTTCCGTTAATTCCTGGAGGCTTGTTTTTCGCCAACGTCTTCAGTGCAGCTTGGACTTCTTTGTTCATTACCATCGGCTCTTGATCATATGTTACCTCCTGAAATGGTTGAATGTCATCAAATTCTTTTTGTTATAGTGAATCTGTGTATTCCTTCCAACTTCTTTTGATGCTTCTAATATTTTCCCCGTAGAATCCTTCACTATTGCAACTCGAGGCTTGGATTTTTTCTTGGATTCTTTCAGCTTGAGAAATGCCGAACATGTTCTTCCCTTTTGGTTTTCTATCTCCAGGTCTTTGCACGTGTCATTATAATACTTTACTTTGTCTTCTCGAGCTGCCCTTTGAAATCTTCTGTTCAGCTTTTTCACTTCATCATTTCTTCCTTTTGCTTTAGCTACTCGATGTTCAAGAGCAAGTTTCAGAGTCTCTTCTGACATCCATTTTGGCCTTTTCTTTCTTTCCTGTTTTTTTAATGACCTCTTGCTTTCTTCATGTATGATGTCCTTGATGTCATTCCACAACTCATCTGGTCTTCGGTCATTGCTGTTCAACGCATCAAATCTATTCTTGAGATAGTCGCTAAATTCAGGTGGGATATACTCAAGGTCGTACTTTGGCTCTCGTGGACTTGCTCTAATTTTCTTCTTCAGTTTTAACTTGAACTTGCATATGAGCAATTCATGGTCTGTTCCGAAGTTGGCCCCTGGCCTTATTCTGACTGATGATACTGAGTTTTTCCATCATCTCTGTTCACAGATGTAGTCGATTTGATTCCTGTGTACTCCATCTGGCGAGGTTCAGGTGTATAGTCGCCGTTTTTTGTTGTTGAAAAAAGGTATTTGCAATGAAGAAGTCGTTGGTCTTGCAAAATTCTGTCATGTGATCTCCGACACTGTTTCTATCACCAAGGCCATATTTCCAACTATTGATCCTTCTTCTTTGTTTCCAACTTTCGCATTGCAGTCACCAGTCATTATCAATGCATCCAGATTGCATGTTCGATCAATTTCAGACTGCAGAAATCAGTAAAAATCTTCAATTTCTTCATCTTTGGCCTTAGTGGTTGGTGTGTAAATTTGACTAAAAGTCATATTAAGTAGTCTTCCTTGTAGGCATATGGATATTATCCTATCACCGACAGCGTTGTACTTCAGGATAGATCTTGAAATGTTCTTTTTGATGATGAATGCAATGCCATTCCTCTTCAAGTTGTCTTTGCCAGCAAAGTAGGCCATATGATTGTCCAATTCAAAATGGCCAATACTAGTCCATTTCAGCTCACTAATGCCTATGATATCAATGTTTATGGGTTCCATTTCATTTTTGACGATTCTCAGTTTTCCTAGATTCACAGTTCGTACAATCCACGTTCTGATTATTAATGGATGTTTGCAGCTGTTTCTTCTTATTTTGAGTAGTGCTGCATCAGCAAATGAAGGTCCCGAAAGCTTGACTCCATCCATGTCATTAAGGTCAACTCTACTTTGAGGAGGCAGCTCTTCCCCAGTTGTCTTTTCAGTGCCTTCCAACCTGAGGGGCTCATCTTCTGGCACTATATCAGATAATGTTCCACTGCTATTCATAAGGTTTTCAACGGCTAATTCTTCTTGCCATAGGTAAGAATTTTCCTTCCATGCAGCAGAAATTAGAAAATTCTTCGCAAAATTGTGCAAATCTTTAAATTAAAATTTGTAAATACGTCTTCATAACTGACCCCAATAATTGTTTCAACCACGTTTCACTCTAAAGACTACATGAGCATGAACAAAGAGCTTTAAGAAGACTTGGTGGCTGCACCTATGGAATATGGCCAAGGACATAGCGAGGCAGGCTGTGGGGAAGCAGTAGTGGGGCATCCACTGGTATGGGTGGGTGGGGGGACTATGGCAGGAGCAGGGAAGGAGCCCAGACAGGGAGAGAGCTGAGGGCTGGGCTGCGGGGACGGGGAGGCAGGAGGCAGGGTAGGTGCAAAGCCTGAAGCAGAAAGCAGAGAAGGGCCCATCTCCAGCAGCCCTGGAGAAGGCAGGTGTCTCAGGCAGATCCGGTGCCACATACTCTACCACAGTTCCCCAATAACATCAAGAGAGGACGGTCACTCTCCTGATAGCTCAGATGAGGTCACAGGCACAGAAAGGCTAAGATACTGGCTTGAGGTCACACAGCCAATAAGTGGCAGAGCTGGACTACAGACAGTTCTGTCTGGCTGAGGCTCCCTCCTCCACACGGTGCTGCCTCCTGATCTATCACTGTTCAATAATAGAAGTGGAGGAGGTGGCACAACGGGAGGCGACTTGCTGCCTCCTAGGACCTCCCAGGTCAGGATTTGAGGATCTGGATTTCAAGTTTGCATCCCAAAAACTGCCTTGTCACAAGTCAATCAAGGACCATCAGATACAAAACACAGAGCATCTTTAGCAAGGTGAATTCTAAAGGATGACTTCCTTAGCAATCACCTCGGATTCGAGATTTCACACATATATGACTCCCAAATGAACCGTCCCTGCCATCCCACTGCTGCCCCCGCCTAACACACCCCATTCTGCCCAGGGGCCCTGGGAGGGGCACTGGGGTTATAAGAGCTTCGGCAGCTGAGATACAGAGAGGGACTTAGAGGATCCATGTGCATGGCACCCTCTCTACCTCTGTCTGTCCTAATGTTCCTGGGGCCACTGCTGATGGAAGATGCCAGAACAAGCTGGCCCCTGCCAGGAAGAGCGTTCAGATCCACATACTGGGATGTTGGTCAGAGTCACAGAGCTAAGACATGCCCCTGGCCTGAGAAGCAGGAAGGAGCCATGTGCTGTCCGGTCGAGAGGATGGAAAGTATTATGGATGGAATTGTGTACCCCACCCCCCCAATATGTGTTGGAATCCCAACCCCTATAATGGTGGCTGTAATCTAATCCAATCTAATGTAATCTCTTCCATAAAGTAATCTAATGTAATGCAATCAATCAGTTGAGATGATGCCAGTATAGGGTGGATCCTAAACCTAATCTCTTCTGAGTTATATAAAGAGCAGCACAGACACAAAGACACAGGCAGACACAAAGGGGAAGACAGATGCCAGGAGAGGACTGCCAGGGAACACCTGGGGCCACTGACAAGGTCCCTGATTTAGTTAGCCTCCCAAACTGTGAGAAAACAAGATCTTGTTCTTTACAGCCACCCACTTGTGGTATTTGTGTTATAGCAGCACTAGGTAACCAAGACAGAGAGTGAGACTGGAACCATTGCTGGTGATTCCTGCAAGGTGAGTTATCAAGCATGCACCCTTCGGGAGAATGAGTATGTGCTGGGAGCCAAGCACTCATCTGGTTTTGAGAGGGCATCAGGGAGGTCTGTGTGGTCCTTGAGACTGGCCTTTTGCCTTTTCCATATTCTTGAGGAGGAAAAGCGCTTCTGACCTGGCCACTTTGACTTGTTGGTTTTGATGACCTAAACAATCAAGTAATATGTCACTCGGACATCGGTGCCCCTGCTGTGCCTCCCTCCTTGGAGGAAATAGGGGAGCAGGGAGAAGTTGGGACAAACGCCATGAAGTACCTGGAGAGAACCACTTGGTCCTGCCCTTAGGCACCGTGTCCAGGGACCTGTCCAAACTGCAGTGGGGTCTGGGGACAGTGGTCAAGGGAGGAACAGGAGGTATGTGTGGGCCCCAAGATATTCTCCGGCATGATTTTATGCATTTATTCCAAACTGAACACTTTCCTTCTTCTGTGTCGGCCTGCTTCTTCTTGGTGCCAGTCATGTGATGGTAGTGGTTGGGTGTCCCAGGGACCCTGTCTGACACCTCTGAGCCTGGTTAACTTCCTCCCACCACGTTCCAGCTGTATTTGCTTCTGTGGTCAAAAGAGCCAGGAGCTCACTTCCTGTTTTGCTCGGCCTGCCCCAGCTGCCCTTTTGCTGCCTGGTCTGATTCCCAGGGGCCCTTCAACTTTTTATTCTGCATTTTGGAAAGGGTCTGATGATCTCAGGTCTCATTTAACCGAATCCTACTTTTTTCTAAAAACATACTTAAATGTAAACTTAGCCATTAAGGTTTTCTTTCTCTCACTCTCCATGACCATCCCCAAGCCGTATCCCATCACAGAGCTGCATGTCTGGGAGCGGGATAAAGGATGAGCAGAAGCAAGGGTTGGGGTGTTGACAGGGTAGAGAAGGATGGAATGGGACCCGAGGGTGCAGGAAGGTTCTGGAATGGTTAGCATGTCCAGGCCATGGAGAAATAATATAGAAGACAATACACACACCCAGGCTCCAATCCCCCGCCCCTGGCTCCCCCCGCCCCCCCAGTCATTTCCACCAAGGGTCCTTGTTCTCTGATGACTCAGTCTGTCTTGAAGGACTTTTCTCCAATTTTCCAATTTCCCTGCTTACACATGTTTGTGCCATTAGCTTTCAGTTTAACAATGATATTTGGGTAATATGGCAAGATGGAAGGAACCAGGGCAGGGGACTCTGTGAGACTCTAGGAGGTGGAGGTAGTAGGAGTCGAGGGAACTGGGGAGAGAGTTGGGGTGACAGCAAGCAGGGGGAGAAACTCAGGGGCAGAGGGAGGAAGGGCAGGGCCAGGAAAGAGGTGAATATGGTTGGAAACATGAAAGAGCATGAGGGGGCAGGGCAGGAGATGAGAGGAGAGAGGGACATGGCCTAGAGGATACCCCTCACCTGTGAATGTCCTTAAGCTCAGTGTCCCAGTCCTTAGAATTTTCATCCAGGTTCTTCCAAGGCTGGAATGGCTTTCCCTCATTGTTCACAAAGTTTTCCCAACAGTATTTAAAGTCTGAGATGAAAAACGAAAAAAAACATCCCGTTGCCGAGGGGCCCCAGTGGCGCAGTGGGTAAGCATTTGGCTGCTAACCAAAAGGTCGGTGGTTCGAACCCATCACGGGAGGAAGATGTGGCAGTCTGCTTCCGTAAAGATTGCAGCCTTGGAAACCCTCTGGCACAGTTCTACTCTGTCCTATAGGGTCCTTATGAAGGTCTGAGATGAAAGAGGTGCATAAAGAGTCAGCTCCCAGCCGACCTTGCGACTCGACCTTCCCTTGCCTTCCTTAAGAACCAGGTCCTGTCTCAGCCTTCCCAGCTCCCCTCACAGGCACTCTCTCAGCTGGCACTCCAGATCCATCCACTCCTCATTCTGGTCCCTCTGCCGCTCTGCCCCCAAGCACGTTTCCCTGCCCGCTGCCCTAGGGTACCTCTTACCTTGGAAGAACATGATTTGGACCTGGGCACCTGCCTGCCACAGACTGTGGAGCCCATCCTTGGTCTCTAGTTCCCTGGGGTAGTAGAGGCGGGCGACGAAGATGCTCAGGTTCACGGTGCTGTTTGACTTCAGGAACTTGGCCACCTGGACTGCACATCTGGAGCAGGGACTCCAGGACATGTACCAGGTGACCTCGTAGTGCTGTGCAGGGGAGAGTCGCTTTTGGAACCAAGTGAGGAAGACCATTTCTGCGTGGTGGTGGCTGGGACAATGGTCCTTGGAGAGACAGAGAGGGACAGGGTGGGGTGGGGGTGGGGGGCAGGGCCGGGAGGTGTGTGGATGGAGAAGCAGGCAGTGTGCTTGAGGGGCATATAAGTGAAGTGGGGAGGAGGGACCAGGGCAGGAGCCCCAGGGGCATCTTATTCATTGATTCATCGCTTCTTTCTTCCTTCTCCTCCCTTCTTCCTTTATTTATTCATCCCTTTCCACATTCATTAACTCATCCATTCATTCATTCATTCATTCATTCAGCAAGCATTCTGAGCTCCTGCTTGGGGCCAGGCCCTGGGTCCAGGCTTGTTCCCTGCTTGCTGTCTGCTGGGGATGGCCACAGAGCTGCACTGTCCCATCATGGAGCCACTAGCCACATGTGGCAGCTATTGAGCACTTGCCACGTGGCTGTCTGAATGGAGACCTGCGGTAAGTGTAAAATATAAGTCACTTTTCAAAGACTTAGTATAAAAAATAAGAGTTAAACTATCCTGTAAAAAACTTTCATATCAATTGTATGTTGAAATAATACTTTAAATATATTGGACTAAATAAATTATTATAATTAATTTCATCTGTTTCCTTTTACTTTTTAGACTGGATACTAGAAAGTTTAAATTACATATATGACCCCTATTATGTTTCTAGGAGTCCCTGGTAGTGCAAAAATGTTCAAGCACTTGAATACTAGCATTCGAGCCCACCCAGAGGCACGTTGGAAGACAGGCCTGGCAATCTGCTTCTGAAAGGTCACAGGCTCGAAAACCCTATGGAGCAGTTCTACTCTGCACACAATGGGGTTGCCACGAGTCAACTCAACGGCAACTAACAACAACAATTAGGTTTCCGCTGGGTAGTGCTGCTAGAAAGCAACCCCCACTCCCAGCCCACAAATGGCTTCCTCCCCCAAACGCATTCTGCAAAGTCTCCAGGCTGGTGGAGAAGAGAGGGCAGGTGCGTGCTGGGACACTTTGCAGGAGTTGTTAGAGGTTGGTGCTGGGGGCTGCAGAGTGGTAGTACTTGCTCTAAGTAGCTGCTGCTGCTTTGACAGCTGCCATAGTGATCACCTTCTGCACCGGCTCTGAGCAGGCTGCGGGGCAGGGCAGGAAAGAGGTGTGGGGTCCTTGACATGGAGGGATCAGGGTGTGGTGGGGAGGGGCGGCCAGCTGAGCATGCAGCAGACCCTGACTTTCTAAAGATATTCTTTCCCGAAGACTGTTAGATGCAAAGCTCAATTACAAGGGTTTGTAGACGAACTGCTAGTAGACGTACATGATGTGGGTCGCTAAACAAGGCCTTGGGTGATAAGTCAAACACCATCTTTTATCAGATGCCAGTAGAGGCAAGCAGGGACATAGAAGGCCAAGGACTGAAGAAAATGTGGGAGGAAAAATATGCAATTGAGAAACCACCATCTGGCATTTTCCTTCTTGTTCTCTCCCTTTTTTTTTTTGCATTCTCAACTGGCTTAGCTGCTGCCTGGTATGAGATGATAGTCTGGCAGATACCTGGTTTTGAAAGATCCCAGAGTCAGGCGAGTTAAGTGAGGGCGGAGCCTTTGTTTCCACTTGGAAGCACAGGAAGGTGGTGTTCCTGCCGTGGGCTAAACGTAGGTTTTCAAAGTTGAAACTGAACTCATCTGGAGCTAACGTCTTCATTGGCTTTCTGTGGGCAGAAGGAAGAAACCCAAAACGCAGAGGGCTCTCTCTGGGGTTACTCCAGGCTGCTGTCTCCCGAACACGCCGCTGGACCCACCCGGGGCTGTGCCTATGGTGATCCCTGAGCCCCCCTAACTGGAAAATTTCCTGCTGCCTTTGGGGGCAGGAAGACAGGGAAGGGCACAAACTACTGTGCTAAGTGCTTTATGTATACTGTTAGGGTAAATACAAATCAGAAAAAAAAGAAAAACAAAATTAATTTTTCCTGATTCAAAAGGGAAAGAGACTTGTTCTATTTTTTTCTTGCTTAGAGTTTTTACTGTAGAAAACTTGTAATTAATTCTTTCTCTGCCTTTCTTGAAATGTACATAAATCGTTGTAGTAGGCTAAACAAGCTTCTTGCCAGTTTTACAACCCAGAAATATTACCTCAAGGACCTGGGAACCCTTTGAAATGTAACCATTAAGACAGATTATATCTGTCTTGTCTCCCTGCTTACATCACCTCTGTCTCCCACGTTTCATGGGTGGGTAGGAGGCTAACTTTTAAGGGCAGCCTGCTCCAAGTTACAAAAGTATCGCCTGTCTTAAAGATATGAAAAGTTTATTTTTCCCTTTGGATAACACAATTAACAAACACAGATGGCTACCCCAACTACTAGATAAATTTAGGGTGCATTATATGTAAGAGGAAACTCTGGTGGCATAGTAGTTAAGTGCTACGGCTGCTAACCAAAAGGTCAGCAGTTTGAATCCACCAGGCGGTCCTTGGAAACTCTATGGGGCAGTTCTACTCTGTCCTATAGGGTCTCTGT